TGCAGGGAGTGTAGCAAACATCAGGGGGGTGTAGTAGACTTCTGCGAGTTAGCAGCTGCTGGAGTGTAGCAGCAGCAGGGGTGTAGCAGCATGCAGGGAGTGTAGCAGAATGCAAGAGTGTACAGACATGCGGGATGTAGTAGATATGCAGTGAGTGTAGCGACATGCAGGGGGGTAGCAACATGCAGGGAGTTAGTAACTGCAGGGAGTGTATAGACATGCAGGATTGTACAGACATCAGGGGGGTAGTAGACATGCAGGGGTTGTAGCAGACATGCAGGGGGTTTAGCGACACAGGAGTGTAGCAACATAGGGGTTAGTAAAAGCAGGGGGTGTAGCAACCCCCAAAGAGTGTAGCAGACATCTGGGAGTGTAGTAGACATGCAGGGGGTGTAGCAGACATGCAAGGGGTGTGAACATGCAGGGAGTGTAGCGACTGCAGGGGGTGTAGTAGACAGTGGGAGGGATCAGACTTGTAGGGAGGTAGCAGACATGCAGGAGTGTGCAGACATGCAGGGAGTGTACAGTCAGCAGGGGGTGTAGCAGACATGCAGGGAGTGTAGCAGACAGCAGGGGGTGTAGCAGACTGCAGGGAGTGGGGGGGGGGTAGCAGCATCAGGGAGTGTAGCAGTCATGCAGGGGTGTAGCAGTCATGCAGGGAGGTAGCAGTCATTGCAAGGGAGTGTAGCAGCATCAGGGATGGGAGCAAAAGCAGGGAGTGTAGCAGACATGCAGGGGGTGTACAGACATGCAGGGAGTGTTGGGGGGGGGAAATAGACATGCTGGGGGGTAGCAACGCTGGGAGGTAGCGACATGCGGGAGTGTAGCAGACATGCAGGGAGTGTACAGACTGCCGGGTGTAGCAGACTGCAGGGTGTAGCGCATGCAGGGAGTGTAGTAGACATGCAAGAGTGTAGTGACATGCAGGGAGTGTAGCAGGCTGCGGGAGTGTAGCGGCATGCGGGAGTGTAGGACATGGGGAGTGTACAAATGAGGGAGTGTAGTAACTGCAGGGGGTGTAGCAGACAGCAAAGAGTGTAGCAACATGCTGGGGGTGTATAAAAATGCAGGGAGTGTAGCAGACATGCAGGGGGTGTAGCAGACATGCAAGGGTGTCGTAACATCGGGAGGTAGCGACATGCAGGGAGTGTTAGACAGCGGGAGTGTAGCAGACTTGAGGGAGTGTAGCAGCTGCAGGGGTGTAGTAATATGCAGTGAGTGTAGCAGACACAGGGGGTGTAGCAGACATGCAGGGGGTGTAGGACATGCAGGGATGTACAGTCATGCAGGGGGGGTGTAGCAGACTCGGGAGTGTGCAGACATGCAGGGGGTGTACAACAGCAGGGAGTGTAGCAGCATGCGGGAGTGTAGCAGCATGCAGGGAGTGTAGCGACATGCAGGGGTGTAGCAGTCATGCGGGGGTACAGCTGGGAGGTAGCAGACATCAGGGAGTGTAGCAGACTCAGGGAGTGTAGCAGTCTGCGGGAGGTGTAGCAGACATGCAGGGAGTGTAGCAGACATGCAGGGGTGAAGACATGCAGGGGGTGTATGACATTTCCCGGGGTGTACGACATGCTGGGAGTGTAGCAGACATGCTGGGGATGTAGCAGACGCTGGGAGTTAGAGACATCAGGGGGTGTAGCGACATGCCAGGTGTACAGCTCAGGGGGTGAAAACAGCAGGGAGTGTGTTAGACATGCAGGAGTGTATAATATGCTGGAGTGTGCAGACATCGGGAGGAGAGACATCAGGGGTGTAGCGACTGACAGAGTGTAGCGACATGCAGGGAGTGTAGCAGACATAAGGAGTGTAGCAGACATGAGGGAGGTAGTAGACAGCTGGGAGGTAGCAGACATGCGGGAGTGTAGCAGACATGCAGGGAGTGTAGCAGCATGCAGGAAGTGTACCGGCATGCAGGAGTTGCGACATGCAGGGAGTGTATAGCATGCAGGGAGTGTAGCAGACTGAGGGGGGGAAACAGACATGCGGGATGTAGCAGACTGCAGGGGGTGTAGCAGCATGCAGGGAGTGTAGCAGGCATGCAGGGAGTTACAACAGCGGGAGTGTAGTAGACATGCAGGGGGTGTACAACATGCAGGGAGTGTAACAGACAGCAGGGGGTGTCAGGGGATGAGGGGGGCGAGAGCAAGGCGAGTTTATTATGCTTCAATGTGACACTAATATAATTTCTATGGCTTATTTATCTATCACAATTCATCTAATATGACATAATAAACAATATTAACCCTTTGGGGGTTTCGCATGTACTAGTACGTCTTACGACCCAGGGTTTTTGATGTACTAGTACGCCTAAATTCTAGCGCCCTCAGATCTAGTGAGAGAAAGCTGGTAGGCCTACATATGAAAGAATGGGTCTATGTGGTCATTGTGCACAGTATAAAAAAAATCCTGGAGCACACAGTACGTAATGAGAAAAAAAAAACTTTGACCAAGTTTTTGGATTAAGACAGTGACTTTGCACTGTATTTTCGTATGGTATTTATTGTTGTATTCTAGTTTTCTTGGTCTCATTTTATAGAATGGAAGACATATTACAGAAATTGAGATGATTTTGACTGGTTTTACAATGAAAAGTACCTTGAAATTGAGCTCAAAGTAGCAGAAATGTTCGATTTTTACCAAAGTTCAAAAGTAAACAAATCATGCCAAGCATCCAATACACATCAACTGGCGAGTCTAATATTCTTTCACAAGTGCGCTGATGTTATTTATACCATTTCTACACTAATGCAGTAGTCTGCATAACAGTAAATCTTATTTTTTTTGTAAGAATAAAAATTCAAAATGGAAAGCCAAAGAAATATAAGAGGGGGCTGGGGATGTGACTAACGAACAGAGAACTTGTTATTTTAGTGCCAGGAATGTCTTTCTTGTTTATTCTGGACCCTATTCGGAAATTGGCAACTTTTGAAATTTGTGTGAAATTGGCAAAATTGCTATATTCTGACCACTTTATTGGATAGTTGAAATCGGTAAATGGGTGGTTTCTTGCACTCATTCGATAGAAAAAATGGAGTTCTAGTGAAAGAGTTATGATTTTTGTCAACTAGTACAATGGAATTGGCTGAAAATAGAGCTCAAATTGGGCAAAATTTCCGATGCGTAAACATCGTCGAGACCGCTAACTTTGCGAGAGCATAATTCCGCAAGTTTTCCATCAAATTTCATACTTTTGGTGTCATTATGATTGGGAAAAGATTATCTTTTCATAAGAAAAAATAATTTTTTTTTTTTTTTTTTGAAATTTGGGAGACCCTGAGAACAAGTCTCTGAGAGGACCACCTGTCGACCCCCAAAGGGTTAATAACTTAGAAACATGATATATACTCTAGAATGAATAAAATATATCATAATGTATGTGAGAAGTTGGGTTTATAATGGTCACTGAGTGAAGCCGTACATATTAGTGGTGGAGGAGGCTTCTACCACCACCAGTATCCACAAACAATATACATATGTATGTAATTTATAAATAAGAAATATTTACATTTTAATTTATAAAAAATAAATACTTACATTTTAATTTATAAATAAGTAAGTAAGTTTATTCAAATATACACAGTTACAGTTACGTACATAGATTATCATACATAGTAGCATATGTGTAAAGTACCTAGGATAACCCAAAAATGTCAGAGTGACTTATTTCCATTGGGGGTTCTTTTATATTTACACTTACCTTGGAGGAGATGTTAGTTTAATTAGTTAGTTTGATGGAGGAGATGCTGGCAGAGGTTTAGGGTGGTGGAAGATATGTAGCAGGCCAGCATATGCTCATAGGCCCGATACACATCCAACAGTATTGGAAAGTTACTTTCGTGTCGTTTTTCTATCGCCTACTCACTTAACTTACTTGCTACACTGTTAATTCTACACTTTATCGCTGGCTGGCACTATAGCCTTTATCGATAACTGCTGCTTTAGTATTGTACATATCGTAGAATCACTGAACCACTGCAGAAGGCACATTCTCCCCTCTCTCTTCCTCCTCCGCTTTGGTACTTTGCTACGAGTTTTTTCTTGAATTTTATTGTGTTTCTTTCCTTCTTTATCACAGGGCTGGCACTAGAAACTTTCTTTGGGCCCATGGTTTATTTAGCAGTTACAAGAACTAAAAACAATGGAATAATACAAAATATATCACATGTAAGCGTGGAATCACGCCCTCCCTGGCTTGTAAACAATGGCATAATGGCTGTACATGGGCTCAGGCCAGGCAGACACATTCGGGACGAATGTCCTTAACTTGAGTTTTTCATCGTTAGCCAAGCTAATATTTTGAATGCATCGGTATTCGATTTTATCGCTATCTGATAGCATCGTTAACCGAGGGTCCACTGTATAACATCCTCCACTTCCTTAAGAGTGCATGCACTGTACTACCAACCTCCAGGACTCTAAATCCTGCTAATTGATTTTCCCAAATTCCTACATACACAATAACCATTCAAAATGAATGCACATTATTTCCAAATTATAGGCAATTTCAAATAATAAAAATTGGATAACTGTCTCTTACTTTGTCGACTGAAATCTGAATAAGAAACTTTTGAATTTTAAAGTTCATTTATAAATAAACTTTGGGATAGCAATCTTTCCTGAGTGTCTTTCCTATGTATGATGATACTGTAGACTTTTTTAAGTACAGCGAAGTTGTGGCCTATTTATTAAGAAAAATGATTCTGGTGCCTCTTTTAAAGAAGTAATATTATTTTTTCATTTAGGCAGGGGATAAATGAGTTCTTGAGTGGTAGAAGCTTCATCATCCAGCAGGCATGCATGAGCATATTAGATTAGAGTTGGGATCTGATACATATTTTTTGTGGCTAGGCTAATGAATATAATTTTTTTAACAGTGTTGGATTGATTCTTCTTTGTCTTGAAAGTAAATTTATTAGGGTATCCTTAATGAATTGATGAGAGTAGACTACATACTTGGATGTTGATTGTGGCATAATGAAGTGACACAAATACCTCAGATTGTGCGGGTAGCAGGTGTGGAAGGAGTACAACGTTTGCGTGGAGTGTTGGAACGAGCAGAAGCTGAGGAGACCAGTTCAGGGGACCAAGATGATCTCCAAGATAATCCTGACCATCCTAGTGCTGTCCAGGCCTTACCTACTAAGAGACAAGCACATTCACTAACACCAAGGTACATAGCTCATACCAATATTGTTGTTTTAGCTAAGTACATTCAAATTTATTTTTAACATTTTAATAAATTAACTGAAGAAACATATCATTGTGCTTTTTCTCTTGTGATGCATTTTTAATATATATCCATCTTCAAATGTGTAATGAAATTTTAAAACTATATAGATAATTTATAATTAATCATAGTAAAAATGAGGGGGTGAGGAAGTGAAAGATATACTAAAATGTGCATTGTCAGTAACTGATACAGGTACCATCCGACTTACGACCAAACTTGGTTCCGACCAACCGGTTGTAAGTCAAAATGGATGTAAGTTGAACCTTACTACTGAATATCAACATCACAGTTTTGTAATGATTTTATTTTATTTTACTGTTTTATCTTGGTATTTCATTTTTTACTTTACATTTTGTACTGTTAGTACTGTATTTTATACCTTAAGGTTTAGGTCAAACACTGTGTACAATACAAACAGTTGTTTATTTCCCAGAAATTTGGCATAAAAAACATGGTCATAAGTTGAGTGGTCCTATGTCGAGCAGGTCATAAGTCAGATGGTAGGTGTATAAGGGTTGCTGAGATGCAAAAGTAGTAGTAAAGCTTGTACCTTCATAAAGAAGCAAACTCTATGTTAAGGTAGATCGCTTGTTTTCTAAAAGTGAACTCCTGGTGTGGCAGGGTAAAGAATTAAATTGCATGTTGAGTATCCTTTATCTGAAATTTGAAAGGCTTTGAAATCTGATACTGTTTTCAAGTGTTTACGTGACACCACAAATAGAAAATTCCAGTCGACTCTGGGGAGGTTCCCGAGCATTGCACAGGTCACTACATACCCAGACAGTTGTGACACATGACCTCACATACCCTGGGTGGGGCTCCCATGCTCTATTGGTGCCAATTTGTTACCAATATTAATCATTGCCAGACCTATGTTCATTTCTCACTGTGATTACTGTGTGTTTTGTACTTATTCTCTGCTCTGTGGTGCAATGATATTGTTGAAAATATCAAAAAGGCCTCCAGATACTTTTTTTTTTCCAACAAGTTGCCACCAAGGCAGCATGACCCAAAAAGAAAGAAAATCTCCAAAAAGAAAATACTTTCATCATCATTCAACACTTTCACCTCACTCATACATAATCACAGTCTTTGCAGAGGCACCCAGATACAACAGTTTAGAAGCATATATAAAGATATATAACATATCCCTCCAAACTGCTAATATCTCAAACCCCTCCTTTAAAGCACAGGTATTTGTACTTCCCATTTCCAGTACTCAAGTCCAGCTATATAAAAATAACGGTTTCCCTGAATCCCTTCACTAAATATTTCCCTGCTTACACTCCAACAGCTTGTCATGTCCCAAAAACCATTCGTCTCCATTCACTCCTATCTAACACGCTCACACACGCTTGCTGGAACTCCAAACCCCTCGCCCACAAAACCTCCTTTACCCCCTCCCTCCAACCTTTTTGAGGATGACCCCAACCCCGCCTTCCTTTCCCTACAGATTTATATGCTCTCCAAGTCATTTTACTTTGATGCATTCTCTCTAAATGACCAAACCACCTCAACAACCCCTTTTCAGCCCTCTGACTAATACTTAAAAAAGGCTACAACCTGAAAATCAGATACATTGGTAAAAAAAAGACAGAGAACATTAGCCTTTTAATGAAAACATGGTAAAAGAAAGGTAAAGAGAGTGGTGAGAGAGTGCAAAAGGAGAGCAGATGATAGAGTGGGAGAGGCACTGTCAAGAAATTTTAATGAAAATAAGAAAAAATTTTGGAGTGAGTTAAACAAGTTAAGAAAGCCTAGGGAAAATATGGATTTGTCAGTTAAAAACAGAGTAGGGGAGTTAGTAGATGGGGAGATGGAGGTATTGGGTAGATGGCGAGAATATTTTGAGGAACTTTTAAATGTTAAGGAAGAAACAGAGGCAGTAATTTCATGCATTGGTCAGGGAGGTATACCATCTTTTAGGAGTGAAGAAGAGCAGAATGTAAGTGTGGGGGAGGTACGTGAGGCATTACGTAAAATGAAAGGGGGTAAAGCAGCTGGAACTGATGGGATCATGACAGAAATGTTAAAAGCAGGGGGGGATATAGTGTTGGAGTGGTTGGTACTTTTGTTTAATAAATGTATGAAAGAGGGGAAGGTACCTAGGGATTGGCAGAGAGCATGTATAGTCCCTTTATATAAAGGGAAAGGGGACAAAAGAGACTGTAAAAATTATAGAGGAATAAACTTACTGAGTATACCAGGAAAAGTGTACGGTAGGGTTATAATTGAAAGAATTAGAAGTAAGACAGAATGTAGGATTGCGGATGAGCAAGGAGGTTTCAGAGTGGGTAGGGGATGTGTAGATCAAGTGTTTACATTGAAGCATATATGTGAACAGTATTTAGATAAAGGTAGGGAAGTTTTTATTGCATTTATGGATTTAGAAAAGGCATATGATAGAGTGGATAGGGGAGCAATGTGGCAGATGTTGCAAGTATATGGAATAGGTGGTAAGTTATTAAATGCTGTAAAGAGTTTTTATGAGGATAGTGAGGCTCAGGTTAGGGTGTGTAGAAGAGAGGGAGACTATTTTTTTTTATTATTATCACACCGGCCGATTCCCACCAAGGCAGGGTGGCCCGAAAAAGAAAAACTTTCACCATCATTCACTCCATCACTGTCTTGCCAGAAGGGTGCTTTACACTACAGTTTTTAAACTGCAACATTAACACCCCTCCTTCAGAGTGCAGGCACTGTACTTCCCATCTCCAGAACTCAAGTCCGGCCTGCCGGTTTCCCTGAATCCCTTCATAAATGTTACTTTGCTCACACTCCAACAGCACGTCAAGTATTAAAAACCATTTGTCTCCATTCACTCCTATCAAACACGCTCACGCATGCCTGCTGGAAGTCCAAGCCCCTCGCACACAAAACCTCCTTTACCCCCTCCCTCCAACCCTTCCTAGGCCGACCCTACCCCGCCTTCCTTCCACTACAGACTGATACACTCTTGAAGTCATTCTGTTTCGCTCCATTCTCTCTACATGTCCGAACCACCTCAACAACCCTTCCTCAGCCCTCTGGACAACAGTTTTGGTAATCCCGCACCTCCTCCTAACTTCCAAACTACGAATTCTCTGCATTATATTCACACCACACATTGCCCTCAGACATGACATCTCCACTGCCTCCAGCCTTCTCCTCGCTGCAACATTCATCACCCACGCTTCACACCCATATAAGAGCGTTGGTAAAACTATACTCTCATACATTCCCCTCTTTGCCTCCAAGGACAAAGTTCTTTGTCTCCACAGACTCCTAAGTGCACCACTCACTCTTTTTCCCTCATCAATTCTATGATTCACCTCATCTTTCATAGACCCATCCGCTGACACGTCCACTCCCAAATATCTGAATACGTTCACCTCCTCCATACTCTCTCCCTCCAATCTGATATTCAATCTTTCATCACCTAATCTTTTTGTTATCCTCATAACCTTACTCTTTCCTGTATTCACCTTTAATTTTCTTCTTTTGCACACCCTACCAAATTCATCCACCAATCTCTGCAACTTCTCTTCAGAATCTCCCAAGAGCACAGTGTCATCAGCAAAGAGCAGCTGTGACAACTCCCACTTTGTGTGTGATTCTTTATCTTTTAACTCCACGCCTCTTGCCAAGACCCTCGCATTTACTTCTCTTACAACCCCATCTATAAATATATTAAACAACCACGGTGACATCACACATCCTTGTCTAAGGCCTACTTTTACTGGGAAAAAATTTCCCTCTTTCCTACATACTCTAACTTGAGCCTCACTATCCTCGTAAAAACTCTTCACTGCTTTCAGTAACCTACCTCCTACACCATACACTTGCAACATCTGCCACATTGCCCCCTATCCACCCTGTCATACGCCTTTTCCAAATCCATAAATGCCACAAAGACCTCTTTAGCCTTATCTAAATACTGTTCACTTATATGTTTCACTGTAAACACCTGGTCCACACACCCCCTACCTTTCCTAAAGCCTCCTTGTTCATCTGCTATCCTATTCTCCGTCTTACTCTTAATTCTTTCAATTATAACTCTACCATACACTTTACCAGGTACACTCAACAGACTTATCCCCCTATAATTTTTGCACTCTCTTTTATCCCCTTTGCCTTTATACAAAGGAACTATGCATGCTCTCTGCCAATCCCTAGGTACCTTACCCTCTTCCATACATTTATTAAATAATTGCACCAACCACTCCAAAACTATATCCCCACCTGCTTTTAACATTTCTATCTTTATCCCATCAATCCCGGCTGCCTTACCCCCTTTCATTTTACCTACTGCCTCATGAACTTCCCCCACACTCACAACTGGCTCTTCCTCACTCCTACAAGATGTTATTCCTCCTTGCCCTATACACGAAATCACAGCTTCCTATCTTCATCAACATTTAACAATTCCTCAAAATATTCCTTCCATCTTCCCAATACCTCAACTCTCCATTTAATAACTCTCCTCTCCTATTTTTAACTGACAAATCAATTTGTTCTCTAGGCTTTCTTAACTTGTTAATCTCACTCCAAAACTTTTTCTTATTTTCAACAAAATTTGTTGATAACATCTCACCCACTCTCTCATTTGCTCTCTTTTTACATTGCTTCACCACTCTCTTAACCTCTCTCTTTTTCTCCATATACTCTTCCCTCCTTGCATCACTTCTACTTTGTAAAAACTTCTCATATGCTAACTTTTTCTCCCTTACTACTCTCTTTACATCATCATTCCACCAATCGCTCCTCTTCCCTCCTGCACCCACTTTCCTGTAACCACAAACTTCTGCGAACACTCTAACACTACATTTTTAAACCTACCCCATACCTCTTCACCCCATTGCCTATGCTCTCATTAGCCCATCTATCCTCCAATAGCTGTTTATATCTTACCCTAACTGCCTCCTCTTTTAGTTTATAAACCTTCACCTCTCTCTTCCCTG